CATGTGGAATTCAGTCTTGGACCCCAGGAGAGGCATAATGCAGGGCATTGTGGGACCTCAGAGGAGGGGAGGGCAGCCAGGACTGGGTAGGGAGTCACTTCTCATGTTAGATGGACTTTGGACAAAAACAGGACTTCTGGTTTCTGGTCCATCATAGAAGGAGCTTGGCACAACGAGAAAGCATCTGAGCAAACTGAACCTCGCCAACTATTGCTATATCCATCAGAGAAGTGAGGGCATGGGGGCAGTCCACTATCCCCCAAATGGAAGATACAGAGACAGAGGGAATAGTAACTTGCCAGATCAGAAGTCCAAGAGCAGAAACTTAGCAAGAACCAGGGTCAGGGAAGGAAAACCTAAACTCTGACCAGTTAGTTTGGATGGCTTTGTGTGGGTGCGTCTGAGAGATAAAAACTCCAGGGGGTACAGTTTTCTTTTCTTTTCTTTTTTTTTTTAAAGATTTTATTTGTTTACTTGAATGTCAGAGTTACAGAGAGGCAGAGGCAGAGAGAGTGAAGTCTTCCATTCGCTGGTTCACTCCCCAATTGGCCGCAACAGGCGGAGCTGTACTGATCCAAAGCCAGGAGCCCAGAGCTTCCTCCGGGTCTCCCACGAGGGTGCAGGGGCCCAAGGACTTGGGCCATCCTCCACTTTTTTTCCTAGTCCACAGCAGAGAGCTGGATGGGAAGTGGACCAGCCAGGACACGAACCAGTGCCCATGTGGGATGCCGGCACTGCAGGTGGAGGCTTTACCTGCTAGGCCACAGCATCGGCCCCAGAGGGTACCGTTTTCAAGCAGGAGGTCCTAAACTTCTGTGACTTTTACTTCTGGGAGATCCACAATATTCTCATAGTGAATATTAAGAAGAAAGTTCCTTATACATGGCGGGGGGGGGGGGGGGAAGTAGCCATTTTGAATGGTACCCAGAAAACTCTGCTTGAACTAGCAAGGTCTGATCTCAAAAGCTGTTTTACTGCAGCCTAACCCTGCAAACTATAATTCTTACCAAAGACTAATTGACACAGGCAAGGATACACAGTCTGTGTATCCCAAACTTTATTTAAGAAGAGTTTGAGTGGCTGGCGCCGTGGCTCACTAGGCTAATCCTCTGCCTTGCGGCGCCGGCACACCAGGTTCTAGTCCCAGTCGGGGCGCCGGATTCTGTCCCGGTTGCCCCTCTTCCAGGCCAGCTCTCTGCTGTGGCCTGGAAGTGCAGTGGAGGATGGCCCAAGTCCTTGGCCCTGCACCCCATGAGAGACTGGGAGAAGCACCTGGCTCCTGCCATCGGATCAGCACGGTGCGCCGGCTGCGGTGGCCATTGGAGGGTGAACCAACAGCAAAGGAAGACCTTTCTCTCTGTCTCTCTCACTGTCCACTCTGCCTGTCAAGAAAAAAAAAAGGAGTTTGAGCAGAACAGACACAGGTACAGAGACTGGCACCAGAGAGGACAGCCAGGTGGCTGGGACGCAAAAGACAAAGTGAGTAAGATGAGCCCAGGATGAGCCTGAGAGTGATGTGACTGAGAAAAAAATTAACAGGGTCTGCCACCACGCAAATGTTTGTCAAAGAATCACACACATCCATGTAAGATGCTGTCTGGACAGAGGCCCACGGGACAGTTGCACCGTGCTTTGGGAACCTGGGGAATTTGGTAGAATCATGGGGGTCAGAGACGGCACTCCTGAGGGAGGGAGGCTTGAGGATGGCCTCAAAGGTGGAATGACTTTTTATATAAAAAGGATGTTTTCTAGGCAGAGGAAATAGAACAAGGACCTGAAAAGCGCTCCCCAAACATGGAGTTAAAAGACATTTGTCTTGGTGCAAAACATTTTGAAATTCATGCAGTTTTTTTCACACGTTACATTTTCTATATACTTTTGGAAGACCTCTGGATGTGCCAAGACCATCAGGTGGGAGCAACATGGCAGGAATGAATAACCAAAAGGCCAGGAGTCCAGTCGTCTTGGGTCTGTGATACAGATGGTCAGAGAGTCAGGATGGATTTCTCCAGGAGGCTGGAGGGAACTGCAGAGTGACACAGCTGTCCCCCAATGTCCTGGACCCCCAGGATGCTGGAGTTCTTTATAGAAGATGGTGTCATATTTGCATATCTGACCCTACACATAGCCTCTCATAGACTTCAAGTCATCCCTAGATTACTTACCACACCTAAGACAAGTAAATGCTACTCAATATCTGTTTCACTGTGTTGTTTAGGGAAGGATGACAAGACAAAAAAACCTGCCTATGTTTGGAACAGGTGCAATTTTTCTCTCCGATTATTTTCCATCCAGTGTTGATTAAATCTGCAGAGGTGCAAGCCACAGATGCAGAGGGCTCAGCCCACTTACAAACCAGACAGTGTGTGTGCTGCAGACATTTTCTTTAAACCTTTAGGCAGCTTTATAAAAGTGTAGGTATCACAGACAAATAATATCCAGTCTAAAAATAGCACGAGAACACTGTGGTGTGTATGCGGCTAGGTATGCCAGTTCCATAAATCATGTCTACAGTCTAGCAGGAAGCTCTGTCTGGGCTCTAGAAACTTGACGCAAAGGTTTGAAAGCGATAATGTGGGAGCTCAGACCAAATAGTGCTGTGGCCTGAAAGCTGGGAGCCTCTCTCCAGGTGCTGTCTCTGCCATGGGCTTCTCACCTGTTTGCCTGAGTATCTATCAGTTTTCTCATATTTAAAGTAGGAATGACACTTTCTGGTCTGGGTGTGGTGGAAACCTCCAAGTGAACATGTGGCACGCAGGTCTGTGGGAAGGTCGCATCACCTTGGGAAAGGCTGCCAGATCTCTCATCCCCGGTACCCATCTCACTGAACCCGCGCCTGGAGTATCCCCATGTGCTGGGCACTAGGAGCACTGTGGTGAGTGCAAATGCACGGTCCAGGTTATACACTCGGGGGCCTGCTCCCCCCACCTGGCTGATGTCACTTGATTGGCATCGATAGCTCTGCACGATAAGTGCTGGGACCCAGAGAGAGAACAGTTTTCCTTCTTTCATGGCTCTCAGAGTTCACTGAGAAAGGAATTTAATCAACAGCAGAGGGCTTTATGAAATAGGAATAAAGGAGAGGGCTGGGGAAGCCAACTAGGTGAGGTGGGCCTTCTCAGAAGAGCTCTCAGAAAAGAGGAGAAGTGGAGTGATTAGAAAATGATATAAGGCCAGCGCTGTGGCTCAATAGGCTAATCCTCCACCTTGCGGCGCCGGCACACCGGGTTCTAGTCCCGGTCAGGGCACCGGATTCTGTCTCAGTTGCTCCTCTTCCAGGCCAGCTCTCTGCTGTGGCCCGGGAGTGCAGTGGAGGATGGCCCAGGTTCTTGGGCCCTGCACCCCATGGGAGACCAGGAGACGCACCTGGCTCCTGGCTTTGGATCAGTGCAGTGTGCCAGCCGCATTGGAGGGTGAATCAACGGCAAAAAGGAAGACCTTTCTCTCTGTCTCTCTCTCTCACTGTCTTCTCTTCCTGTCAAAAAAAATAAAAATAAATAAAAATAAAAAATTAATTAGAAAATGATATAATTAATATTTGATGCCCTGATACTTTTGCAATAACTCTACATATGGAGGTACTTCAAAAAGTTGTTGGAAATACATTATAAGAAAAATTACTTGGGTACAAGAAATTTTGAAATCCTTGCATAATCCTCATAACACACACTTTTGATGAACTTCTTGAAGATTCCTCCTGAAATCCTTGTTTTCTGTGAAATCTGGGGTTGAAAATAATTGAATGGGGAAGATGGAATTGGGCGGAACTCTGAAATCACATTATGTAACCAAATGAAAGCGATAATAATAATAATAATAATAATAATAATGTGATAGAACACCAGCCTGCTGAAACTGTGCTCTGGTCTGTGCACCAAAGACTGGTCCTTTGCAGCACAAATCCCTGGGATTCATACCTGGATTGTTCCTAATAACGAGCCGTTCCATCAATGGGACACCTGTCATCCAAGGCGAAATTTTCTTCACCATATTTTCTCATCATGGAGAGAATGTCTTTGCAGCTCCTTCCTCTGCACTGTGGCTTTCCCCAGTAGGCATAAAAGTGGTGGTTTATGAAGTCACTTGCCCAGTCACACTTACACTAAAATCACTTCCACAGTGTTTTAAGCTTTTCCCTTAATGCAAAGAAAGCTTGCTTGCTTGATTGCATGGAAAAAAAAACCAATATATTCAGAAGAATGAGAGGAGAAACAACAAATTTTCTGGATTATGTGAACATCATTCTCCCATTTCTCAATTAAATAGATGCTAACTTGTGTTAGAGAAATAGGCATTATGGGGCCGGTGCTGTGGTGTAAGGGGTTAAGCTGCCACCTGCAATGCTGGCATCTCATATGGTGGCTGGTTGGTGTCACAGCTGCTCCACTTTTGATCCAGCTTCATGCTAATGGCCTGAGAAAGCAGTGGAGGATGGCCCAAGTACTTCTGTCCCTGTCACCCACGTGGGAGACCCAGATAAAGCTCCTGACTCCTGTCTTCGATCTGGTCCAGCCCTGGTCATTGTGACCATCTAGGGAGTGAACCAGTTGATGGAAACCCCCCCTTTCTGTTACTCTTTCAAGTGAATAAATAAATCTTTTTTTTTTTTAATTTTTTTTTGACAGGCAGAGTGGACAGTGAGAGAGAGAGACAGAGAGAAAGGTCTTCCTTTTGCTGTTGGTTCACCCTCCAATGGCCGCCATGGCTGGCGTGCTGCGGCGGGCGCACCGCGCTGATCCGATGGCAGGAGCCAGGTGCTTCTCCTGGTCTCCCATGGGGTGCAGGGCCCAAGGACTTAGGCCATCCTCCACTGCACTCCCTGGCCACAGCAGAGGGCTGGCCTGGAAGAGGGGCAACCGGGACAGAATCCGGTGCCCTGACCGGGACTAGAACCCGGTGTGCCGGCACCGCTAGGTGGAGGATTAGCCTAGTGAGCCGCGGCACCGGCCTAAATAAATCTTGAAGAGAGAGAGAGAGAGAGAAACTAGGCATCATAGAAGAGTAAGTTGCAAAGCATTTCATCACACAAGGGCACTGGAAACTTGTTCATTGAAGCAAATGGTGATGTCTTCACAGTATGAAACCAGACCGATAATGTGCACTGTGGCAACAAATGCACAAACCTTTGGGAAACTCTCCACTTTGAAATGCTTTCAGAGGCTGCAGCGCCTGCCTTACCAACCTCACCGATTCCTGCGTTGAAGCACCCTCAGAGCGACTATATTTAGAGATAGGACCTTTATAGAAGTAAGTAAGGTTAAATGAAGCCTTAAAGGTAGGGGCTTGATCTGATAGTGTCCTGATAAGAAAAGGCTCCAGAGTATATTCTCTCCCTCTCTCTCTCTCTCTCTCTCTGTCTCTGTCTCTCTCTCTCTCGTGCGCGCACGTGCGCATCTTCCCTCCCTCTCTCAGACACAACAAGCACATGACTGCCTGCAAACCAGGAAGAGGGTCCTCACCTGAACTCTACCATACTGGCATCTTGATTTTGGACCTTCCATTCCTGGAAGAATTTCTGTTCAGTCAGATATTTAAGCCTTGAGTCTTGTCATGGCAGCTCAAGCTGACTCATACAGGGCCCTTATACAGCTGTAAAATATCCTCAGGATAGCAAATCTTTGCCTTAAGTGGCACATGTTACATTGGGAAGCAGCCAAATGTTGCTTGAAGCCAAGGCTTTGGAACAAAGTAGTTGCGGGAACAGAATGAGGGCGTGCTTCCAGAATACGGCAGGAATGAAGTGCATTCTAAAAAGGAAGGCTTGCTTTGCGCTGGGTGGATTTGCTGGTGATCACCAAAGCGAGCAGAGGCAGCCTGATTGTCATCCCTGTGCAGTCTCCTGAAAAATCTCTTTGAAGGACAGCTGTCGTTTCCCCCTCAACTGAAAAGAGCAAAGACATATCAATATAAATTCTGGAAAAAACCCCAATTTTATAAAATCATAAATAAATTTAAAGAATGCAAATTTGCTGCCATACCATTTCCAGAGATAACCACTGTAAACGTTTTAGCGATGCCATTGCAGAACCTATCTATACGATCACACACACAAGCTCGTGTATTTTAGACTACAAGGAAAATGGGGCTTTGTATCTTGTCTTGTTTCTTCATCTCCTGAGTAGTTCAGTACACTTGAAGAAACACAATTAATATATTTGTAATCTTCAATACTATGAATGTACCAATCATTTAAAAATTATCTACTGTAGAACATTTAAAATCTTCTCTAACAGTTAAATTTTACAACTAATAAGATTTTAAACAATATAGGGTTCCATTGATTTGTCCAGTTGCTGTTAATATGTGAGTTCCTGAATCTCATTTCAGTTCTAGAAAACTAGATGCACCAATTTCTTCCAGAGGGAAAAATTTTTATTTCTATTTTTAAATTATTTTTTGTTTATTCATTATATTTTTAACCATTTATTAAATGGTACTTCAAACTCATATTCTCACCAGGAAAATGTAGGAAAGCTACTGATACACATTATGTGATTTTATGCCACCAATACCAATGTTGTGGTTTAATATGAAAACAATTGTAGTTATACATTTTGTTCTATTTTCCAATTAGGCATAAATACAAATTCAAGATGGTTTAAAGATAATCATTCAGGTCATTTGTCATAAAATTAGTAAAATATGCTTTCCAATAGTTTCCAAAGCCACCATTTCATATATTAAAAGGATATTTGCAAGCGTCTGATCTTATTCTACATGCAGCTCCATTTAAAATTATCATTTCATGGGCTAATTACAGAATTTCCTGTATTCAAAGATTATTTTGCAAAACTTGTGATCAATGCTTTTTATTGCATAATATTTAGTAGTCATGCTCAATCAACAAGGTCAACAGAAACCTGTAAATATTTTGCTAAATTATCTAATACACTAATACATATATTTTTCAGTGCAGTAACATTGAAATAATTCCTGTATTCTTTATGCATATGATTTTGCAAATAAGGTAATAACATAGAAATACACAAGAACTTGTTTTCTTAAAGCAGGTAAGATTAACAGAGGTTAAAATTAAGTTTATTGACAAGCCAGAGACTGACCCTGGCCCTAGTATCACCAAACTTAAAGCAGCTCTTGGTCAGAAGAGTACAGTAGAGGGTGCATGAAAGTGACACCTTGTGGTCTCCTTTGTGGTCTATTATTTGAGGCAATATTTTTTCTTAGCTTCTAAACTGTATTAACTCATAATAAAAAGTGCCTAGTCAAAATTTAGAACATTCTGATCAAAATGTTCTGAACACACCTTTCAGACCCCTGCTGGTGGTAGTCGGGGCGGGGAACTGCCCCCTGCACACTGGGCACATCTTCCAGTGACTTTCAACATGTTCTTCAGATTTGCTCTGATCCTAGTTGGGAGGGAACATTGACTCACAGAGCGGGCACTTCTTGTGAACATCAAAGCTGGAATCAAAGCAAAAGCCTTGTCTGTGCAGTGGGAAGATCTTTAAATAAATGAGAACGGAGTAAGGAATGGACCAGGAGTTTTCAAGTAATCAGCAGATAGGCCATATTTTAGGTTGAATTTTGAAGTGTCTAAAAAGTCATGGAAAATGCATATTATGAAAAAACTATGCACAGATTTCAATTTTTTGTATCAAAATAAACATCTTCTTTTGAAGGAAGACTTATTTCCCTATTTATTTAAAAGGCAGAACAATAGAGAAAGAAGAGATACAGAGAGAAAGAGAGAGACAGAAAGAGCGAGAGAGCGCATACACCCAATGGTTCACTCCCCAAATGGCTGCAATAGCCAGGTCTGTGCAGGCCAAAACCAGGAGCTAGGAACTCCATCCATGTTTCCCATGTGAGTGACAGGGACTCAAGTACTTGGGTCATCATCCACTGCCTTACCCTGTACATTAGCAGGAAGCTGGATCAGAAGCAGGGTAGTCAGGGCTTAATTGGTGCTCTGATGTGGGAGGCCAACATTGCCAGCAGCAGCTTAATCCACTGTGCCACAGTGTCAACCTCAGTGAACTTATCTTTCTAGTATTTTCCCATCAGCCTTTTGAAATAATCTCATACATCACCACAATGGGCACTTAATCCTAAAATTGGCCACAATTTCCCCCAAGTACCAAAAGGCAACAGAGTGGTCTGATGTCTCAGATCAATGTTTCCTGCTTTTGGTAGTAAGCTACTTAGTGCAAAATCCATAGCTCTGTAAATCCTAATTTATAGAAATTTCTCCTCTTTTTAATGAGTTAATCACAAAGCTCTTTTACAGCTACATTTCAGCAAAAGAAAGACAAATGATACATACCTTAGTGTTTTCAAACATGACTGAGTTTTAGTTACTGAAGGAACAACACCACTACAGTTCGCATAAAGTAGGTTTAATAAACTGAATGACAAAAATCTTACTTTATCACATAGATCAGTTCTCTATGTGGCTAATACACTCTGCACCAGAAGTTTTTACTTATGTTGCTTTTCTCATCCTATGCAATTTTCTGCATGTACTATGTGGCAGATCTAGAAGGGGAGGATGGGAAAGATCAGCTGGTGTGACTATCAGCGGGTGTGACTATGGACGTGTGAACCCCAAGCCTTGCAGTTGTATCTTCAGTCTGTTTTGTCTTTTGAGCATCTAGACAGTGGGGCCTGCATCCTCAGCAGCAGAAAGCCCTTGCTAAAGATTATTCCAGATAAGTAGACACTGGAGTCAGAAGTGATGTCGCTGGGTGCCCCAGTCTTCTTTCTCCCTTGGGAAATAGGTCAGACGTAGACTTTACTGGTTGCATATGGACCCAGTGAGGGGCACGTACGCTAAAGGACGAGAGACAGGACATCATGCCCTTAACTTCTCTCAGTTGTCTTCTTTTTCTCACTCTCAGCTCTCGGGCCTCCTCTTCCCCCAGGTCTGGCCACTTAACTGACTTAACGACTCTAATTCTGTCCTTCAAAAACCTTAGCTTTTCACATTCTCCAGCAATAAAATCCAGTCTCTTCACATAACCCTCAAGGCTCTTTGGGATCTCACCCCACACCCACCATTCTCCACTCTCCAGCTGTATTGAGTTGATGACAGGTATCTGAATGTGTCTTATTTAAGATTCTGCAGGTACAACTTTGGGCAAGTCACTTAGCACTTCTGTGTTTCAACTCACTTTGATGTGAGAACTAGTATAGAATCTGTCTTGTAAGATGTCACAAGGATCAAATAATAGGTAGAAAGGGCTTAGAGCAGGGCATGGCATGTAGATACATGCTCTACAAATTAAATTATTGTTATTCCTCTTCTGGAATTTCCTCAGCTTCCCCTTCGACCTGTCAGATTCCTACTTACCTTTGAGATGTGGATCAAGACTCTCCTCTGTTCAGTGCTTTTCTGTGTCTAACAGAGGTCATTGCTCCCACTGTCTCCTACTGTACTTAGAACCTACCACTAGCAACATCAGTTATAGCTCTTGCAGTTATTTGCTTACAGGTTCATGGAATCTATGAGGCTTACATGTCCCAGTCATCTCTGTAGCCCACACTTAGCTCAGCCCTTAGCATATGATGGCCCCTCACTTGACCTCTATTGAATAGGTTAGGGTTAAAGTTCCAGCTGCTCATTACTTTGCTAATCTGGCACCTGTGTGTGAGGATAGGCGTCAGGGTCCCAGAATTCCACCTGGCAGTCAGCTGAATTTCAGGCGTGTGAGGGGAGCTCTGAGTGTCTGGCCATAGAGAGATGTTGCAAATGTCTGCAGCTGACGTTGCCATCCCCAGAAAGTGCCTCTCAGCAAATTTCTATGTGCAGGACCAGCAGAAGAGCTCTACAATGGAGTGCAAGGGCAGGCAGATTCTGAGCCTGCCCCTCTTGCCTGACAGATTCCTGATTTACTGGCTCCAGAACACTCCAGTTGGCCCTGTAGCAGTCAGAGTATTTTCATTGCGCTTTGCAGTGATACTAAAGAGAGATCAGGCTGTTGCAGTGGGAAGTAGATTTACTTGACTTTCAACTATTGCAGTTCTTTCTTATTATTCACAAACAAAGTTGTGCATGCAGTAATACCAGCCCTTCATAAATTTCTTAAATAGCTCTGTTTTAAAATCTGATATAATTCCAAAATGTCCATAAAGATGATTAGAATATAGCACAAGAATACCTTGCCACAGAGAGAGCCATTTAAAATCAGTTCAAAGCTGATTTTGAAAAATTGCAGGAAAGGAAAATATGTAAAGTAGGAAAAATGTGCTATGAGGGAAAATAAATGTGTGAGCGAGCTGTAATCAGATTCCTCAGCTCTGTTGAAAGGATGAGACCGACACTTCAAAGTCTTTACAAATGTTATCAAGCTGCAGAGCTTAAGGATAAGATGTCAAGTTGGTGATAAAGATTATTATAGGGTCAAAAATTTGGAAATATCAGATATTAGGCACCATTTAGACTTATATACTACATGCATAATATTATAAAGCCATTGATATTAATAAACATTTTTAAGGAGCTGGGATACACTAGTGAAATAATATTAGGCAAAAATGGTAATTGCAAAATTGTATGTACAGGATGATCTCAAATATGTAAAATATGTAGTATGAGTCTGTCATGTCTGTCATGTTGTTGCTTGTTAGTGGGTGTGAAAATTATGCCCTCTTCCTTCTCCCATCTTCTTTAAATTACAAAATTAACTTAAACAATTGCTTATTATTTATTTTGGATTTAGAATTGAAGACTTGCCAGTTGAGCTTTTGGCTTTTCTAGAATGTTCCTTTTTAAAGGGGTAGCAGAGACCTTGGGAAAAGAGGCTATCAGAAATAAAGTATCAGGTACTACAGCCTGGTTAGAGGAGTGTATTTGTAACATCCCAGATAAATTCTTGTCAAGGCTTGGGAGAAGATATGTGAAACTTCAGTTTCCTATATCTTATACAGGCAGCCATTTTGGTTCCATCCCAACTTTCCACACCTCCTGAGACCCTTAAGGTTTGGACCAGATATTCACAACATGGGGCAGAAGGTGGGCATGCTGTTTGTTGGTGGGGTGAGGGGACAGTTTAAGGAGGATCTGGTTACAGGACTGTAGGGCAATATGCAAGTCAAGTAGATGGCAGAGTCAACCTAGGATGGACTTAGGAGCTGAGATGAATACAACATGGTTTCATCTGGCTGAACTAGAAATAGACTGACTTTCTTGGGAGTAGATTTTTTTCCTTAAGAATATGAAACAACCTTCCTTGCCAGTAATAATCAGAGGGAGATAACCATATTTGAGAAGGTTTTTGATGACATGGATCTGCAAGGCTCTATTTCAGGGAAATTTTAGGCAGATTTGTATACTATGCATGCTGATGCTATCTCCTGCCTGCCAAAGTCCTGGGCCAGGATCCTCATGTTGCTAGAGAGGGATAACAAAGGGAAAAATAATCCCACCCCACTTGTCAGGAGGCTCCTTGTCCTCTGTTCAGGAGTGCTGGACTAAAAGGACATTTCATCCTGCAAAACAGGTGACTTAGGAGCATGGTGCTGAGAAGCCTGGTCTCCCAGGATAATTTGGACAGATGGTTGCAGATGCTTCCAGTTCTTGAGAATTGTAGGGAGTTATGGGCAGTTGACTCAACAAGCAATCTTTGAAATTCTATTATATTTAAAGCTCTGTTCTAGGTAGAGTAGGGAACAGAGATTATGTAGTGTATTACTGTACCTAATGACCCTAAGGAATTGGTCTATTGAAATATGTGCTCTCTAAAAGATGAGAAGGAGAAAGTAATGATGTGCTTTTAAGCTTCCCTGTTTACAACAGAATTTCACCGGTAAGATGTGTAAGGGAAAGGGTATGCACGCTAGTTCAAATAGGTCAAGGTCTGTCTCTGAGTCTTGACCACTAAAGCAGTGTCATTTTTTTTTTTTATTTGACAGGCAGAGTGGACAGTGAGAGAGAGAGAGACAGAGAGAAAGGTCTTCCTTTGCCGTTGGTTCACCCTCCAATGGCCGCTGTGGCCAGCGCGCTGCGGACAGCGCAGTGCTGATCCGATGGCAGGAGCCAGGTGCTTCTCCTGGCCTCCCATGGGGTGCAGGGCCCAAGGACTTGGGCCATCCTCCACTGCCCTCCAGGGCCATAGCAAAGAGCTGGCCTGGAAGAGGGGCAACCGGGACAGACTCCGGCGCCCCGACTGGGACTAGAACCCCGTGTGCCGGTGCCACAAGGCAGAGGATTAGCCTAGTGAGCCACGGCACCGGCCGCAGTGTCATTTTGAGCAGTTGTTTGATCACATTGGGTCTCAGTTTTCTCGTTTGTAAACTTTATTGCTATGAAGAGTCAAAAATCAACTTTTCTAGATAATATCAAGTTGTTTTGCGAATGTGTGCATTCCCATTACTCCATGTTTTTTTTTTTTTATTTTTATTTTTTATTTATTTATTTTTTTGACAGGCAGAGTGGACAGTGAGAGAGAGACAGAGAGGAAGGTCTTCCTTTGCCGTTGGTTCACCCTCCAATGGCCGCCGCAGCTGGTGCGCTGTGGCCGGCGCATTGTGCTGATCCGAAGGCAGGAGCCAGGTGCTTCTCCTGGTCTCCCATGGGGTGCAGGGCCCAAGGACTTGGGCCATCCTCCACTGCACTCCCAGGCCATAGCAAAGAGCTTGTCTGGAAGAGGGGCAACCGGGACAGAATCCAGAGCCCTGACCAGGACTAGAAACTGATGTGCCGGTGCTGCAAGGCAGAGGATTAGCCTATTGAGCCACGGCGCCGGCCACTCCATGTTTGTACCATCACTTAGAGTTGTGAGACTTCTTGGTTGCCTGTTAGAAACATAGATAAATCTTCTTTATTGGATATTCAAGTTCCTTAACAACTTTTAACATGCATTTCCTAGCATGAAACTGTTTATTCTGGCATTTAGGGAGATAAACATTGACTAAGAAACCCAAACAAAAGGAAGTGACATTGAATAGGTTATGGGGAATTCAGTTAGTAGATGTTAGATATGGACTGCAGAATAACTATGCTTAATCTACACAAAGATTTAAAAGGTAGGGTTAAGGTTGAGCAAGGCAACTGAAAACTATTTAGAAATAGCAAATTGCAATTATAGAATTTTAATTCTAGAATTATAGTAACTAAGAGCAATGGATTTGTACACTTCAAATGGTTAAGATGATAACAATTTATGTATATTTACCATGAAAAAAATAGTTGATAGATTTAACAGGAAATTAGACTTTTGTAAGAGGTTATTGGTGCACTGGAATAAAGACTG